TTCATTTGTGCATAATATGATCTCTACTAGTTATAGCCAGCGTCAGGTCGATGTTCGGGAGGATGCTTGATTAATTGCAATAATTGTAGTATATTGTTGGAGAAAAAGATCTGCAGAAAATTGTCTTAGAGCACTGAGACGCCTGAGAACTCCGGGTCCCAGATGAATTGTTCCTGATTTCCCCCCTCTCCCCTACACTGGTTATTGCAAACATTAGCAGTAATATTACTAATAATGGTTAAGGCGAAACTGATTAGGTATACTCGGACTCAACACACAAATAATTAAGCGATTATGCAACCAATAACTCTGATTTCAGAATGCACATATGTATAATCAATTCTTGTATCGTGCTTTAAGTCCTTAAGTTTTAAGTGCGCGTCTATGGAAGTCATTTATATTATTTCAAATATTGCGATTTATTTCATATTAACTCATTGTCACGACTGCATAATGTTTGCAATTTATTTCTGTAGGTCGTGACAGAGCTTTTATCAATTTTTAATTTTTTTATTATGTATTAAAAAAATTGTAATGCCTAAATAAAAAAAAATATATATTACTTATAATTGTTACTTACTTTTGACTTTAGTTTAAAACAAGAAAAAAAGTGAACAAAAGGTTGCACTGAAGTTATAATACCTGTCACAAAAAATAGTTTACATATAAGTACTTGATTTTGATCGGTCAGTTTGTTTGCCAGCTATATGCTATTGTGGTCCGATCTGAAAAAAAAAATGCCTTAAACAGTAATCCATGTCAAATTTCATGTTGTTAAATAAAATAGTTTTTTATACAAAAACTTGATTTTGATCCGTCAGTTTGTATGGCCATATGCTAAAGCGATTCCGACCAAATGAGCAGCTTCTTGGGAAGAAATGGACATGTGCAAAATTTCAGACCGATATCTCAAAAACTGTCCGCGTATACACTTGTACAGACAGGCAGACATAACTAAATCGACTCAGCCGATCATCATATGTTATAGCGTCTCCGACGTTAATTTCTGGGTGTTACAAACTTTGTGGCAAACTTAATATAGTGCATTGTTCAGGGTATAATAATGTTCTACTCCATAAGTATAAAGCCAGCTAATTATGTCGGCATTAAACACTTTTCGGTAGCATCAATCCTCAATTCCTGACATTGCATCAGAAATACATAAATCTGATATGTCGAACGCATTGAATTTGCTCTGTCGAAGTCTGATTTAAAACAAAAATAACAATAATGCTTCCTCGAGTTTTGTTTTTATTCGTATATATTTTCATCACAGTGAACACAAACATAATTTCACCATCATTTCTTTTAAATATTATTACTTTATATGTAATGCGGAAAGTGCAACAAATGGTTTCTACAACTATTCAGCTGTTTTCTTGCAGAACATTTTTCACCACTTGCTTTTATCTATCCAACAAATTATCATGTTATGAATTGGCGTTTTTATGTGAAGTGTGTGATTATTAATAAAAATTAACAACAATCCTATTACGCAGACAATTAAAAAAGAAGATATATACATACAGTCATACATATGTATATAAACATAGTAGAAGTGATTGTGTTACTATACTTATAACGTGTATAGTGTCACCTATAAATCGCCAGTAGTCTGTGTTTTGTTCAATATGTTTAAGGACTTGAGGAGCGCTTCCACTGACGGATCACGACCGCGAAAACGGCGAAATACTTCTGCTGTAGGCACGGTACCACCTAGTGCTAGGAAAGTCTCCTTAAAGCGTTGCCCCGTCGTCGATATTTCAGCTTGAGACTTGTCTGCAAATTCGGAACTAATGTCAGCAGCTATCACTTTCGAATACAGGTGACTGAATTGTGCAGCACCCCAGTCACCAGAGAATATTTCTGTCAAAGAACAAGGGTGCGCGTCTTTTTTGTCTAGAGGCATACACTGATAGACAGGCCACAGCTTTTTAACTACATCCAACCAAAATGCATCGGATTGATGTAATTCAATATCCAAATCTGCCATGTAAAGCTCTTGACACAAATTGTATCCAGCTAGGCTAGTTTTTAGCAAATGTATTTTTTGTAGGACGTCATCCGATATGGCCTCATTAGTTGTGTAGTGTTTTGAAAGTTCTTTTAATATGGCTGGGTTATCAAGAAAATTGCACATCACATTTCCCGCCACTTGCGAAGCATCCCATTCGATGTTTGAAAGGCCGGCGAGGTCTGTGTATGGAGCTTTCGTAAGCAGGTGTTGCAAAGCTGAACCGAAGGTCTTGAATACCATATTTAAATCGTCAAAATTCAGTAAATATGGTGTGCCTTGTAAAGGTTCCGTAAAATTAAAGATTAACGCACACAAAGGAGTCAGCTGAGCAGAGGGATTTCGATTACGTATGCTCACCATCCAACCATTATTTTTACCGAACTTATTCTCCTTAGAGTAGCAGTCTATGTAAAAGCCAGCGATTGGTGATACACCGCCACCGGCGCTATTATCGAATACATCATAGTACTTTACAGCCGGCTGCCAAATCTCAACATTTTGGCGTTCAACAATGCGTATATTAAACAAGTTCTCACTTAATTTAAAAAGTCCACTGAATACTTTTGGTAGTGGGAAATATTCTCGTAGCTGTTCCTCATTCAACTTATGGTTTGCTATTAGATGTTTGCGTTGCCAGTAGGCGACATCGTATACATCCAATTTGTTCTGAAATCCGCTTTCAATTGCAAAATTTTGCAACTGCTCAATTTCTGTTGACTGAGCAGGTCCAGCAAACTTCAAAAGATTTGCAAATATCTGTTTTAAATTGTCTACACTTTTAATCATCTTGGTCTGCATCGACATTGCTGCGTAGTTAGGATAACCTAAAATTAATATATAAGGTAAATAATATCAATTGATATAAGTAGTGGTTATTTATAGGATATCGGATTTTTTTTGTTTTTAACCAACCTAACAAGTTTGCCTGTCGCTTTCTAAGAGCTCTTATACCCTGCAGATGCGTACTGTTCTCAAGACTTCGCTCTTGTTGACCAGACGCTTTACGCACATTCGCTTGCCACACGTTCCAACGTTGCATACGGTCTGGGCAGTATTTTAAAAATCCTTCCACAATTTGTGGTTGTAAAGTTATTTTCCAGGGACCTTGAGTTAGCGTGGTTGAATCCTTAGCTATAGCTTCTAATAGCGTCACGGGAAAATCACGAACAAGATTATAATCCTTTATGGTATGTCCAAACGTATGTACAGCCATGTTAACTTTATTTTTAAAGCTGGCACGTTCTTTACCTAATTGTACGAGAATATCTCTGAGGGTCTCTCTTTTATCCTCTGTGTGTGTGAGACCATTTAATTTTCCCTCCAATAAGAAACGTTGTAACAATCGCGCCTCTACGCCTTGAGCATTGCCTTCTTGTTGAGATAGTGCATCATATAATACTTTACTATTGTACTTGGAAGCTCGTGCAATACGTGCACGTTCATGGATATTCATGTAGGATTTGGTAGGTATCAGTGTACTATTGCCTAGATAAAGTGCTTTAGCAATACCCCACGTGGTGTCCAGCGGTCCAGCCACTTTATCTAATTCTTCGAAGATGCCTCGTAGATCGCTGACATTCATTTTATTCTCCTGAATATCATTTTCAAAGTTTTTAACAGTTTTCTCCACCAATCCTGCCTGTTGTCCTATGGCTCCCAAACAATTTTCAATAGTTATATCATTAAATGCTGGCAATCCATCCGTATTCAATACACCGTCAGCAGCATGCGTATCTTCTCCGATCTCAGGAACTCTATTTTAAATTAAACAATCACGTTAAAGTAATTTTTAAACAAATTATATCAATTTTTTGCTCACAAGACAATATAACCGGCATTTCGATTACTGATGTATTGACTTTGTTTCACACTATTTATTAGTCCACTTCGACGGAACACCGTATACATATTGGAAAAATTTCTCTAAATTGTTTAATTGTGAAATGCTTTCAATGAAATTCAAGAAAATGTAAATTGCAATTTGTTAAAATGCGTTTACACAATCAGCATTGAATAAAAGTGAAGTGTCAACGACTGCAAAACAGCTGACTAGAACATGCCAAATATGAAACTTCTACGGCTTCAAAATAGTCGCAATGAAAATTTTAAAAAAAAATTTAAATTTGACAACTTAGTTAAATGTTATGTTGTATTTTTGTCAAATAACGATAGTTACATTGTGTTTGTAAGCTAATATACATTAACAAAAAAGTGAAGAAATAGGTAATGTGTTAATATTGCAAATTAGTAAAACTTTTAGAGCCACTGGACACATTTACTCTGTTTGGGAGCCCCTGTCCTGTGTTCAGCTGTTTGAAAATGAACATTTGCCGGCTATTATGGCGTAACGACAGAATACATATATTTATGATAACAGAAAAAATATATAACTAAAAAAATGACTAGAACCAGTGGTTTCGCACAAAGAATAATAAATTTACGGCTTCCTGGGGAACGTCGTTTTTACTCCACTGTAGCCAATCAACCATCACGTAGACGAGTTGTGATAACCGGCACTGGCGCGGTTAGCCCTCTAGCGCATAATGTGCCGGAAGCTTGGTCACGTATCTTAGCTGGCGAATCTGCCATCTCAAAGCTAAGTGACCAATTCAAAGGTTTACCATGTCAAGTGGCAGCGCAAGTACAACGGGATCGGTTACCGACCGAAGAGTATTTTAGTAAAAGTGATTTAAAATTAATGAGCACGGCAACACAATTCGCAATAATTGCATCTGAAGAGGCGCTATCTAGTGCCAAAATGCAACCTAAAGAATTAACAGAAGAACAACGTGAACGATTTGGTGTCTGTGTTGGCATGGGTATGTTTGATCTGACAGAAGTGTATGGAGCTTGGCAACAATTGCAACGAGGTTATAATCGTGTTAGTCCATTTTTTGTACCTCGTCTTCTTCCCAATATGGCATGTGGTCATATAAGTATGCGATATGGCTTGCGTGGTCCAAATCACTCGGTATCGACGGCATGCGCAACAGGGGCGCATGCAATTGGTGATGCACTACGTTTTATACGCAACGGAGATGCTGATATGATATTGGCAGGAAGTGGTGAAGCCTGCATAGATCCTCTTGCTATAGCTGGATTTTGTCGTTTACGTGCGCTCAGTACAACACATAATGATACACCTACGACGTCATCGCGTCCATTTGATAAAAAACGTGATGGTTTTGTAATGGGTGAAGGTGCAGCTATACTCGTACTCGAAGAATTGGAACATGCACGTAAGCGTGGTGCACCAATATTAGCTGAGCTTCTGGGTTATGGCTTGTCGGGTGATGCTTACCATATTACATCGCCTAGTGAAGATGGCACAGGTGCTACTTTGGCAATGCAACATGCTATAACGGATGCAAGAATCCTGCCTACGGATATAACCTATGTCAATGCACACGCCACGTCAACCCCAACAGGTGACCGTATTGAATCACATGCTATAGAAAGAGTCTTCGGTGAACATGTATCACAAGTGCGTGTGTCATCAACAAAAGGTGCCCATGGTCATTTGCTTGGTGCATCAGGAAATTTAGAGACTGTCTTTGTTGTGCAAGCATGTGTGGACAACAAACTACCGCCTTCTATTAATATTGAGAACTTGGATGAAGATATCAAAGTGTCAATAGTGCAAAATAAATCTGAGCAATGGTGCAATAACACTGAGGTGTTGCGCATAGCTTTAAAGAATTCCTTTGGTTTCGGTGGAACAAATGCGTCACTTTGCATTGGGGAATATCGTGAATAAACCGAATAATGCATTTATATATTATTTTCTTCTGTAAAATAAAAATTTCTACTTCTACATGCAATATATATAGGAATAAATTTTTCAAAAATTAAAACTTAATAAATATTTATATTTTAAATAAGAATTTACTGTTATAGAAAATTGTTTAAATCAAGTTAATAAAGCTACAAAATTTTTTTTAGGAAAACTTTCACTTCTTACAATTTATTTGGAAAACTTCAGTAAAAATATGTACATGTATGTTTGTTTACGGTGAAGTAAATTAATTAAAGATGTGTCTATATTTCATATATATATTATTTATTAGACATCGTTCTGCAATGCTCTTCCTTTTGCTTAAATTATAATAGTTATTACTTTAAATTTGTTTATGGGTACCTCAATTTATATGTTTACCCATTTTCTCTTACTTAATTAGTTGTAGTAATCGCTTCATGTGTGCCAATTTGAGGGAATGCTTTTATATGCATAATAGGTTTTTCTGCATATTTATGGCTGTGTATTAGAAGGTTTGAGTTTTTCAGCAAAGGAATAAAGATATACCAAAAACATACACACATATATTCCTATATTATTGTATTAAAATGTAATTATCTTGTTGTATTTTTTAATCAACAGCGAGTGTTGTAGTTCTAAGTGGGATGTTTTCTGCAGTCTATTGTAATAGTGTGTAATTACAGATGTACATATGTTTGTATACGTATGTATGTACATACATAATTATGTGTCGGCGATGTCGCACAAAACAAATCCTTCATCAAATGTATGTGCATAAATAAATATATGCAGGTGTACATATTATTTTACTATTACTGCCACTGTGATCACTATATAAGTTATATAAAAACTCAAAACTGCATAACTTTCATCTCTAATATAATATTATTTGGCTTTATATTAAGTGACCTTACTAGTTTGTATCTTAATATGAATTCACACTACAACATCACTTCGATGCGTTGGCTTTTTACACAGGCATTTTCCAAGACCCATTAGTAAAAAGATATAGTTCAAATAAGTTATTGCACTACCCATTATTGAAGTCAAAATTTTTCTATAAATATTAGCAAAAAGCACAAATAGAGAATAAACAGTAATCAATATCAAGTCAAATAATCACGTTATTGGCTTAAAGTAAAATATGTATTTTGATCGTAATATAATTTGCTACTATAAGATAAATGACTTCTTAATCTTATTTGAATGTGCAAAGCCATTCATCAAAACCCAAGCTTTAACTCAAATGTAGAAACTTTTCATGAAATCGTGGAGCTTTGTACTCAACTAATTGAACGACAATTAGAAATGATAATTGGCGATGATTGACTTTTAAATGGATGTTCCTTTTGACAATCATACTTTCATAATAAAAAAAAGAATTTGCTAATATCGCTTTTGTTGATGTAACAGCAATTAAACATTCCACAAGTAGTACTATTATTCCTTAACTGGATTAAACCGTTTTTAATTCCGGTTATGAAAACCCAACGGTCGCTTTTGATATGAGTTTTTTTTTGTTTTATGGACAAAAGATAAATGAATAATGACAAAAAAAAAATTTCATTACAAATGTGAAACGCAACTGCAATATATCAAAAAAAGCTAAATAAAAAGATGTACCTAGCATTAGTTTAACTGTATATTAGTCGTAATTGTTCGAAATGGAAATGAAAACAAGCATTTTTATAAACGAAGTCTCTGAGATAGGACGAAATTTCAACATATTTGTATTAACCGTTAGGTTTGTTTCGATTTTCCAGCACAATCTCAAATATATGGATATTGCTGTCTTCACTGCCCTATGATTACAATTTATTGGGGGTTTCTCTGCATTTTTCCAATAAATCAATTAAATTTTTTACACGCTTAATGACATAATATATATATATTATTTTTATTATTATTATAATAATTAAACCGTTAATTAATTCATTAAAAAATGCTTACACTTAGAAATATATGTATATTACTTTAAGTTTCGAACTACACTAAAATTTTTTCGGTTTTTCTTGACATCATTCTCTAGCGCAACATTTGCGCTTAACTGTTCTTGTTAATTTTATTGTAAAGTAAATTTTTATAGTAAAATATATATGTATATATATATATATATATATATATTTACATATATTATGCATATATATGTAAACTACGAATTACAAATACGACTACATAAATATGTATATATGTATTTTATTTTTAGATTTTTATTTTTTTTATTTCATATTCATATTATTTTTTATTTTTGTTGTATAAAATTCTAAATGAAATTTGCAATGCCGCTCTTTGAAATGCTCTTTTCTACTTAAGCCTTTTGCAAATATGAATTTCGTGTTAAAGCCTAAGCAAACAAAAACGCCTCGACCTTGTGAGATATAGTGGAGGAAAAAAATAATTTTTTTTTCTTTTACTCTGCTCGTTTTATGTGTTAAGTTTGAGTTTTTATGCGATTTGTTTTTATAATTTTCAACATCTTTAATTTAATTTTTTTTTTTGTTTTCAAAAAGTGTAATTAACAATTTTGAGGCTTAAGGCATTTAACCGCCTCTGGTTAAGCAGTATATTGAATTGGTTAAATCGCCTTAAAGTACGTATTTTCGGTCAATCGCATAGTTAGGTTGTGTAGTGGAGTGTCATAAATAGGTTATTTTTAGTTATTTTTTTGTGGTTTGGCTCTGTGTATTACTATGTTATGTTCATGTAAATTAACTTCATTCAGTTCAGCGCGTTTTACAACACAAAAAGCACATAAAAGCAAAAAGTCAAAATGTAATTACAATTTCAAATACCGAATGGCAAAACAACACAAAACAAAACATAGAAATTAAAATAATGATGTGTTAAAACATGTTTTACTGCTACGTACGAAAATGTACACAACATTTAGAGCTTGAAAGCTGTCTGTAACAAAATATTCAAAGCAGTTAAAATTATGCAGCACTGTGTGTGGTGCGAAACGACAGGACACGATAATAGGCAAATTGTTGAGAATATTTACTTAACATACATTTGATGCGAATTGTTGGAAATATGGTAATTTTACACATATTTATGTATATGAAATAAAATAAAAAAAAGTTTTATGTTTTGTTTTTATAATTGACGAATTGTACATATATATCTATGACATAAGTTTTAGCAGTGGAAAACAATTCAGCATTTCCTCATATTTCTTTCAAAATCTTTTTAATTAAAAAACGATAAATCAATTCGTGACACTTGTAGTTTCACATTGCAGTTATACAGTAAGCCCTATGGCATAACATGAAATTAACATTGAACACTTATTGAACTAAGCAAAATGAGTGAAATTGAAAATAGTAAAAGAATCTATACTTCATGAAATATAAACTTAAACTAAAAGCAGATGTAAATCAAAGGCATACGTTTGAGAAGACAGACTATTTTACGCAGCAAAATATGAGATGGCAAATGACAACATAGGCAATTAGAATACTAACTAAAATTATTTCAAGTTGGAATCAACAAATGCGGCCAAAATAATGTTTAGAGTTTGATGGAACAATTTTTTTTTTTTTCCTAAATAGTTTTATAACTGTAACTGTTGTGTAGTTACGGTTTTAATTTTATACTGAGGTTTAGCCACATTCTGTATAGACATATGTAACATATCAACACATATTCAATACATGCATGCCATGCATAAATATATATGTTGTGATGAATTAGCTTATGTGATAATTTTCTATATGTATATATATTTTTGTTTTTTGTGTTTGCATTTTCATTTTATAGTTTTAATTACACACTATTAATGTTGTAAATATGTATGTAACTGTATCGTTGTCCATAACTTTCTTGTCGCCGTTGCCAACTACTTTCTCACCAATCAGACTATTTTCGCCTGATCATTAGTCGATCATTTCCACTGCTTTCTCTTTATATACACATGCTATCACCAATACAACCTACGCAAGCGTACATTGGTGCAAAAGCTACACGTTGGCCGTTCCGCTCTACCTTTTCTCACGCGCACATAGATCTATATAGATATAGCATAGGGGGAGGGTCCATGTATGATTGGAAGCTTAAATCACACAAATATTTAATTCAGCAACGCATCCATTGTGTATGGAAAAGGAGGTGGGGTACGTTGTGGTGGTGTAGTTTTGCTTTGTTGTTGTAGTTGTAGCTGTTGCTTTTGTATTTGCTGCTGTTGCTGTTGCTGCTGCTGCTGCTGCAGAAATTTCTCATTGCGGCTTAATGACGTTGTTACTGTTGTGGCTGTTTCAGTAGCTGTTACTGCGGTTGTTGTTACTACTCCAGTTGTTGTTGTGCTTGTTTTTATTGCTGCCACTGACGACGGTCAGTCGAGTATTACAACTTGCGGTTCGATTTGTCTGCTCACCGTCACAGCTGGTGTCGCTACAACATGTGCCATCTGTGCAATTTGTTGTGCTTTGATTGGTAGTTCTCGCCAAGGTTTGCGTGCAACTCGTCGAAGATCGGCAGGTGAAAGTGTTTTGCGCCATTTTCTATGAATTCGATCATTTATATTACATATAATTATTAACAAAGGCAAATCCAGCTATGCTTACTTGCTGCCATCTGTGGCTCTAAAATAATAATCATCTGGTGCGTCTACCCAACTTATAACCTGCTTACGCCCATTACCGGTGCGTCCCATTTGTGCTAGCTTCGGTTTGCCATTTAGCTATAAAAACAAATTTAAAACCAGCTCAAAATTAAAGATATATATTATTTACATGATGTCTCGTTAAGGTATGACCCGCCGCAGCCATCATTGCAGCAAATTGCTCATTGCTTGGACGATGCGAAGGCATGGGATCTTTATTAGGGCGCTTAGTAGGCGGATATACTGGATAAAGCATGCCTATAATTATATTGAAATTCAAAAATAGATTAATAACATGCACACGTTTTTGTGTGGAGCATCATGTGTTCTGTAGTGTAATTTTCCGTTACACAACACACACTCATTACCATCGGCAGCTTCCTCGTTCCGATCGCGACCACGCTTTCGCCAACAATCAGTACGTCGCGCTGCTGCAGATCCACCGCTACTATTCGATGCCGCAGCTGGAGGCAAATCTTTAACTGTTCTTGAACGCTCTGCTGTCACTTTGGGTGCTGGTGTCCCCGCATTGATTGTTGCCACTTTTGTAACTGGCACTGACGCAGGCGAAATTGCAGGTACTACCGCAGGTAATACTGCAGCAGCTATTGGAGCTGTAACTACCGGCGCTGGAGCTGGTATAATGGTTAAATCCTTGTCGAGCTCTAAAACCTTATTGGGCACGCGATCATACAATAAACTGCCATCGGCGGCCTTTGGCGGTTTGGGAAATGAGACCACATCGGGTTTTGGTATTTTGTCCTTTGGTGTCAACACTAACCATTCATGCGGTCCAATGCCAGGGCAGCCCAAACGATTTGCGATTTTAGTAACACTGCCGCGTTCTCGCTTTTTTCTTTTCATCAATAAAATTTTCTTTATATCGGCTGCAGTTTTGTCATTTATTCGATTCGTAACTATAAGGAAATAAGCAATTATTTATGATATTAGCATGTAATAACACATTCAGCGAATTTGTGGAAACTCACATTCTTGCTTCACCAGCTGCGTATTAATCGCAAACGATGTTTGACGCGCTGCCTTTTTGGGTTTTATGTAATTTCGACAGAGAACGCGTGCCAGACGCGTCATTGCGTTCGTGTGCAGATAGAAGGCGGTGCGAGTTTTCATAATGGGCCGTGGCGAACCCGACATAAGAGCGATGCCATGCGTCTGATCGAAGTGACGCGCTAAATGAGTTTTTAATTTGAATTCTTTATCACAATTAACCATAGGGCATCTGAAAGCAAACGTATAAATTAGTCATATTAGATATTGTATTTAATTATTTCAGTTTAATGCTTACTTGTGCATTTGGCGATTAGACAAATCGCTCACTTTCTCGGTATCAATCACTTCCACAACGACTGGAGCTACTTTCTTTTTGGGTTCGTGATCGATTTCGTGTTTGCCGGCATTTTTCAAACCACCGTACTTTTTCCAATAGTCAAAACAGTTTTGACAAAGACGACTGTTACCGTGGCCACTGCCAGTCCATGGATACCACTAATAATAAATTATGCTTATTTTACTTATACTTCAATATAAATTGCAAATAGATATTTGTTACCTGTGAAGATTTAACAGTTGAGCAAGATTCACATGGTTTGCCATTGTTGGAAAGATCCGCACCACCATTTGTTGTACCGTTATATATATTGGCACCTCCTTTTATTGAGACACTGCCACTTCCGCTCTTATTCACTTGATTATATTGCGGAACGTACACTTGTTTCAGTTTAAGCTCCGCCTCCACGGCCTTCACGCGTTTCTGTTGGACATAACGGTCGGTCGTCTTCCACATGTAATAGTATTCAATTATCTGTTTCAGAGTTTTCCAAGGAAGCTGTAAATAAATGAGTATCGAGAAAATATATCAATATATGTATAATGAATTATTATTATAGAATTTTTGCTAAGCAAATACATACAAATAGATATTCATCTGCTGAACACTTACAAAGTCTTGTCGAATGTCATTAAAATCTTTGCCATATTTGTCCAAAGCCTCTTCGAATAAATTCGCCTCCGAGGCACTCCAATCTTCAATTTCATCGCGGCAGAGTACTGGCCCAGTGGAAGGAACTAACGAACACATCGCCTCTTCAATAGAGTATTTGTGCTTATGCAGCGTATCCATGGCATGAAACTGTTATACACAAAGTATGAATCAAACAATTAGATGTGACAAAGAATCATATAAAATATGGAAAATACTTACCAGTGTTATGTCACGACTGGCTGCTGCGGCCGACATATGCAACGACGGCTGTTTCACCGAACTGCTACAGTCTAGCGCGCGTGCGAATGTCCCTATCGAACGCGACACCACCAAAAACTGATCGATTTTACGATCGTTTAGGCTATGCTGTGGCGTCCATACCAATGTTTCGAGATCCTCTAACTTACGCTCATCACTCGTAACATCTTTAAGCTTCGCAGGTATTTCGCTCTGATAGCGACTACCTACACGAATTTCGCCTTTGTCGGCGAGTAGCGTCTTCTGGTTAGGATCGAACACCAAACAATAAAAGAATGTATCCTATTTGAATGAAGAAATTAAAATCGGTTAATGTTACATTAAAATATATTATCAGAGGAAATGTTGAAGTAATAACAAGTCTAAGAAAGTACATATGTAGCTAGCGTACGATGCGAAATTTACGACTCACGTCTTTACTGAGATAGCTTTGCAGGGACTCCGTCTCGTTCAGTAATGTAACCGAACATTTGCCACGTATCTGTGTGGCGGGCAGTGCCTCGACTTGGCGTGACAAGAACAATTCACGATGTTTGATCTGATAGCGTTGTTTGGCCGTTAGTGATTCACCTTTTTCCGAGTTTGCCCCACCAACACCACCGGGGCCGTGGTGTATAGGACTATTAAGCCCCTCATCCAAAGCTGCTATAATGATAAAGTAAAAAAAGAAAAGTCAGTTCAGTGTGTTGAAATTACACGTTTATCTATACAACTCAGATACATACATACATACATACAAATGTATATTCATAACGTGTTTTCTATATACGAGTACACAGGAAAATAATATTCAAAAAAATAGTATCGAATACGTATTTGAAAATAACTGTACATTATCCAATCAGTAGAAGAAATACATTCAAGCTTACTTATGTATGTATATCAAAATCAAGACGTAACCGAAAACATAGCACTACCAGCATATCGAAAAAATGCCAATTTGAGAGACTCTAATTTAATCTAAATTACAAAGAACCACAAATTTATCTACGAAACTGAAAAATATAATCCATACATACAAACACATTGTATTTCAACATTTTTAATAGTAGTTTGATAGTTTTGTTAAAAATTCTATGATACACTACAGTGATGTTGAGTGATTGAATTTAATCGGTACCTATCGAAGGGTCTAATACTGCTTGTGCGGCTTGCTCTTCGCCTACTGGAGTTCTAAGCCATGTTTTCTTCAGCTTCGTAGCCAGTGGAGAATCTTCAGCGGTCGCCACTATGTTCGATGGGGATAAGTATGTGGATTTAGTGAAAAATTCATAACAGATTTTATGTGCAAGCTAATAGATATATATACGTACTATGTGTATAAAAATTTAATTTCAAATTTCAACTACTTGTATACTGTGAAAATTAACAAAAATATACATATAAAATATGTGAAATTATAATAATAATTGTATTAACAAAATGAAATATTATAGTTTTCCAGAGATAATTATTTATTTTAACAACTTCAAGGAATTTAATATATTTTTTTTTATTTTATATGCCAACAAAAGTTTGCTTTAAATTTGGTACTTTAATAGTGCATCTAGACAATGGCACGGACGAATTCTATAACAGCCATCAAGTTCTTGCTTCATTTGCAAAAATACTAATTGTGGCTGTTTTTCTAAAAACGTGTGTACCATCTGAAGATATTTCAACCGGACTGAGGTATTTAAACTATGCACGTAAATCGGATCGATAAAAAAAAAAATTTCTAAATTGGTACAACGTCTTTAATGTTCGTGTGAAGTTTAATCTCCATTCTTCAAGTATTGTATTTCGGCAGCTGTTTGTTTACGACGCAAAAAGTATGTATACCAATTTTTACCATGGATTAAAAATTTAAAGAGTTTGCTTGAAATTTTGTGTTTTCAAAGGAAGCACGCCTACGGAGTGTTTTGGATAGTCTACTTTTTCACGAACACAAATATTTGGGTGACACAAAGCATTCATTGAAAGCCGTGAAATTGCAGAGGATCTCGATATCTCTTATGGATCGACTCAACATATTTTGAGCCTGAATCCTTTGCAAAAACGACGTCGAGTAGAGGTCACAAAAGTGATTGACAACGTCTGAGGGCCTGAGGACCCTACATTCATCAAACACATCACTACTGGTGACGAGATAAGGGTTCATAAATATGATGTCGAAACTGTCCCAACAATCTAGCGATTGACGACCCAAAATTCGCTGAAGTCACTAAAGACTACCTTAACCGAGGCATATAACAACAAAAACAAATGTATTGAAAATTGGATTAAGCGTTGGCTTGCTTGTATTTTTTTTATAGCCTATTTTGAAGGCGATAATAAAGATTAATATTAATATGCGTGTAAATCCAATTTTTTTTAGTTTTTTTTTGCAGTCCGGGTCAAATTTGATCAGATGGTATCATAAAATGAAGAAGAAAAAGCTTGACTAAGGTTCTAGCGAATGAGTATCGGAGAGTAAAACTTAGTTAATAATTTAAACTAAAAACGAATTTAAACCATATACTTCAATATAAGCCATAATTATTAATCATTATATATATTATATTCTTAAAGATATTCCATAAATATGTATATACTATAATGATAGACTTAAAAATATTTATATTGTATGTATATAACTTTAAAAGCTGAATAAACAAACAAACAGAAACGAATATGTAGAACGGAAATGGATTACCACCAACAGAACCTACGAGTGTACGAACGATAGCCGAAAAAAGAGGAAGCGCAATATGATGCAATGGCTTTAAATTGAATGGGGTGGAAAGAAAAAGTTATTATGGGCTGAGTTAGAGTGGTATTTCGTTCAGCAAAGATGTCTGGAATTGTCGGTTAGCACAGTGCGAATGGGTAACGTTAGGTTGGGTGGGGTGGAGGTAAACACACACACACAAGCAAACGCGATGGAGCCGCCGCGTACTGTAGAACGGTGTAGACCACTGAGTAGGCGGCCAAAACGCCTTTTGTGGTATTTGCCACCCCCTCACGCGGACGTCGTTCAAGCAGGCCTGGTGTGACGCTTTTTTGCACAGGCAAACGATTGAAAAGAAAAATATATGCACGTGTGCATGTATTGCGGTCGTAAGGTTAGGAAGACGCATGAGATATGTACAACATATTTATGTACGTCATTACTGGTTGTAGTAAACTTTGATTAGTTTGAAGTCAAAACTTCCGGCAAACTAATAAAAATACTGCATATAACACATCCAAATATGGTAGTTGTGGTTATCAGTTTTATGAATTATTCTTTCTTGTAATTTATCTTAATAATGTATAATTTGAATATAATACATTGGTTGGATATGCTTATGATATGAAGTCAAATCGAAATTTTACTTTAACAAAAATTTGACATGCGGATGCGGTGTGTACCAGGTGGATACATTAGATCCCGCGATATTCTACATTTGGGACATGCACAGGCAGCCTTTGAAACATTGAAATCCTATCTGTATGTGTAGGTGTGTGGGTGTGTATATTGGTATGGTTAGCGCACACTCGTATGAACTGTGGTGGTTGGAGTGGACAACGTGTAGTCGGTGTTTTGTGTTCTCTGCTGTTATTGTTGCCAGAATTTAGTTACGCACACATACGTAATACATATATAAATATACATTTGTATGTTTGAACATATGCTTGCAACTCTAGCGAAGAGTGAAGGTGCCGTTGCAGCCTTTAGCCTGATTTTCGTACGCTCATACACGCCCACCCACAATTGAAAACCGACCAACTGACAGTACACACCTAGCCATTGACGCACGCATTTACCATAGGTATGGGTATGGTATGTATGTATATTTATATATTGTATATATATACGTAGATATATACATTATTTCGCACAAATGTTGGTATATTGTATATTTCCATGTATCTATGTACACCCAAAAACATAGCAGCATTCAACATAGATTTTCACCCACCCACCATTTTGCCAACAAACGCAGACCACCACTTTTCCCTACCGATATCCGAAAATTATTCTATTTAGTGCCTAACGGTATCTAGGTACCAGGAGCGGGTAGTTTAGACAAAGTTACGCGAAGCAACGACTGAGCAAATATATGCATACATTTTTGAAGTTATGTATGTATGTATGTATGGGCATAAGTATGTAACGTATAAATGCAAGTGGTGAAGTCCTCTCAACCCTTGTCTTTAGCATCAGTTTCGGTCTCAGTCACAGCCTCTGCAGCTGTTATTGCTACTACTTGCTGCCGTTGTGGTTATTGCACTTGTTTTTGTATGTTACTCGTTGCTCTGCTGTACACTGTAGTTTCGGATGGTTGACTGGCTGACTGAGTGACTGTTTGGCTGGGCTGGTTAGCTGAGAAATCATGTCTTGTGTATTAGGCATCGATACAGATGCGAATATTTAAAACACTGTTGCTGGCCCTATATATTCGGCTTGTTGTGTTTAAAACTGTTGCCGATTATTTGCTCTTGGTAATACGCTGGATATCGTAGACGATACCACTTGTTTCTGGTTGAAAAATATAAATGCACATATTTGTGTGATAACGAATGGCCGAACATATATGGATAGGCATTTGTGCGTAATGATCTACATTACCAGTTCATACCGGCATGCACTATATTTATGATTTCATTAATTTTCTTTACAAATTTAGTTACAACCAAGGTATTTTCACCATAAAAAAAGTGTGAAGATTTTTATTTGATTTCCTAAATCAATAGTAATACTAAATCTATAGTAACAAACAAAAGCCCATCGATAAAAATAGTAATTAAAATACTTAAAACCGCATATATTTTTTACAATGGACTTTTATTTAAACTATCTGAGATTTAGTTTTATGAAAGGGAATTTTACATATATAGTATTAGTGAAACGCCAATAAATTTAAATATCCATTAGAATAAAGTTGTTAACATATAGTGTAATATGAAAATATTTAATACAAATTATTTAAAAAAAAAATCAATTAAATGCACACACATGAAAAAAAAATTAAAATAATGTGTTGTAATGTTAATTGACTTACGCTGATGTTTATCGGCCAGTTGCACCAGTGGATTCGGCAGATCGCGCCTTCTATAAAAGCACATAACTTTCGCTTCCACATTCCCGGATTGATTTTTATTTAACTCTTCTATGCGACGTATTAAAAATGGGCTATTCTGATTTGTCTCGACATAGACATAATCTGAAACACAAAATATATATTTATATGTATATAAGGTTTCATCTAATAATCCTCTTATATTATTATTTTTAAAAAGCCTTGTGTTAATAAAACATAATGTAATAGAACTCATAGAAAAGCGAACGTCAGTTCTTAGCTGCTGCTGACAGTGTCGGAGAGTATATTAGATTTCTGATTATAGATCAGAGTACTAATACTTTATTTCGAATAGCCAAGCAATAGAGTCACTAAGCTACAACGTTCGGCTATGTGTGTGCATAGTCTACTGATCCAATTTGTATCAATACTTACGCAATATAGCGTCTGAAAGAAGTATGCCTATTTGCTGAATATTCTAATTAACCCACCTGCCAAACATACGCGTAAACATATTCGATCTTCACCAATGCGGTGAGCAGTGAAAATAATTATCAATGCAGAGTTCACGCAAAAGCAGAAACTCTTAAGAGTATAACGAAAACAAAAACTCACATAAGTTGCATCTACTTGTACAGACTAGACACTGAACAAGTGAGAAAATATAAATTAGTCTTCCTGCTGTGCTTATTACTACACGTAACTTGAGTGAACTGTTGTATGTATGTATAAATGTAGGAAAAACGTATACATATGCACAGATGCCACATGGCATAATGACATCAAGAGAAACGCGGCATTAACCAGCATACTAACCATTCGACGATGATCAGAAACACGCATCCTAAGAAAAGCATTATAATTACTTTACCAAAGTTCGAAAATCTTAGAAAAAATGTAATTACCAAACACAAACATACGATTTTAAATAAATTGTTTGTTTTAGCTAATTATTAATTTGGTGTATTTAAGATTTTGGTAGAGAAAGACTTCGTGTAAGCTTAGAAATGGAAACCTGTTCTTTTGCTTTTTCTGCCGTATAAAACACATACACATGTGTACCTACTTATGTTTATATAAGCATGTCTACATGTTAAATCCTTCAATGCTTTAAACGGTCTATGAAGTTTAAAACTTCGCTTATATTTGTCTGCAACTAAATAATATCAAATTTACTATCACAATTGTATGTATCTACATTATTGCGAATGTGTGTATATACCTAATAAGCTTTCTCTATTTATCTATGTTGCAATACACGTAATGATAAGATCGGTAGCAAGTGAGCAAGCGGCTCAAAGCACTTTTATGTATACTATACAAATACAAACATGATCGGCATTAATTTCTACATTATAAAAATTTATAATAAAAAGGATTAATTTCATTAAATGGAATAAATAACCAATAGCTAATTAAGGGCAGATTCAGTAAATGAAATTTTAATGTGATGCAAAAAGTATACTACATATTATTTGCCTAGTCATTTAGGACGTCGTATTCCAAAATTATCGACAGTTACTTAAAGCTGATACATGGACTCAGCTAGATTAATTTTTTTTATCACAGTTGACACAACTTTTAATATTCCATTTTCTTGCACATTTCTTATTTAATCTTATATACAGAATACAAGTGCAAGCCATAAGTGCAAAATGCAGTTTTGGACGACGCAGACGAAACATAAGCTGCGACGTGACAGCAATGGCAATAGCTTTGATAGCTGCGATACCAGCATAGGCCATAGCACACGCAGTGCACCATAGCAGCAGCAACGGCACCAGCAAGCAATTGCGACAGTAACGACAGCAACAGCAGCAGCAAATGCGGCGGCGACGACAGCGGCAAAAACGCCAGCGCCGAAAGACACGAATAAGGTACAAAACGTAGAAGAGAAAATGGAAAATTTTTACCTCCAACCCGATACATATTTGTGGCCATTTTCACTTAATTTTTGCACACTATTTCACACACAAAGTGTTTAGCACTTTTTTAAGGATGGTTTTTCACTATTTGCATGCAATTTTTTTCACATTTAATCGCGTTAATTTTAATTTGTTGTGATTACATTCACAAAAGACGCGTTTTTTTCGTCGCCATCTTAGAAAACACAAAACGTCAAATGTCAAAAAAGTTTCGTGGTGGAATTTTAAGAGTTCGTCCCCTTCTGGCCGATTCAACAGCTATCGTCAAATATTGGCGACATCTAAGGTGAATATGTAGATATATCTTAATTTCTGGGGATCATGAATTGGCTACAAATGTTGCCAGAAAACGGTTTTAACTCATTGCAAATGCTCACCCATTATCGGTTTAGCTCTACAAAACGATTTATATACCTAAAATATTTTATATACAAATTTTTAATGCTTCTGATTAATTTGTACCAAATGTAACTGAATATTTTACTGTTAAAGTAAATATATATATGTTTTTAAATATTTCATATTACAGTTTAAATGTTTATATAGGCATGATTGACAGATGATTTCCTCAAAGACAAACTACGTAAAACGTTAAAAATTGACATCATTGCTATGTGTCAATGTGTAAGGTGGCATCTCGATTTAATGTGACGTGGACGTGGAAAAAATTTAGAAAATAATTCCAATTTGATCGTTGAGTATTTTATTAAAGAATTTTGGAATAAACCGCGCCCTATTAAGATGACAACCTACGAAGAATTCATTCAACAGAATGAAGATCGTGACGGAGTCCGTTTAACTTGGAATGTATGGCCATCAAGCCGCATAGACGCAGGGCGTCTAGTTGTGCCACTTGCCTGTCTTTATCAACCATTGAAAGAACGACCTGACTTGCCATCTATACAATATGAGCCAGTTTTGTGTACCCGTGCCAACTGTCGTGCAATACTTAATCCTCTATGTCAAGTGGACTATCGTGCTAAATTATGGGTGTGCAACTTTTGTTTCCAAAGAAATCCAGTGAGTTGAAAGTTCCAACAAATATGTGCATTTTTATACCTGATTATTAAATGTCACTATATATTCTTTTTTTAAGTTTCCGCCACAATATGCAGCTATTTCGGAACAACATCAGCCTGCCGAATTGATTCCTGGCTTCAGTACAATTGAATATACAATAACTCGTGCCCCATGCATGCCACCGGTTTTCATATTTCTTGTTGATACCTGCATGGATGAAGAAGAGTTGGATGCTTTAAAAGATTCTTTGCAAATGTCGCTAAGTTTGTTACCTCCAAATGCGCTTGTCGGCCTTATTACATTTGGAAAAATGATTCAGGTACACGAATTGGGAGCAGAGGGATGTTCGAAGAGTTACGTCTTTCGTGGTACCAAAGACCTTACTGCAAAGCAAGTGCAAGATATGTTGGGTATTGGTAGGTCAACAAGTGCGGCTCCTGGGCAACCTGGTCAACAAATGCCAGGTCCTGGTCAACCACGTCCGGCTACTGCGGCTGCGCCTCCAGCAAATCGTTTTCTCCAGCCCATAAGTAAATGTGATAGTGCACTGGGTGACTTGTTGAGTGAATTACAGCGCGACCCTTGGCCGGTACCTCAGGGAAAGCGGTATTTACGCTCAACGGGCACTGCATTGTCTATTGCAGTGGGCCTACTTGAGTGTACTTATCCAAATACTGGTGCTCGCATAATGAGCTTTGTTGGTGGACCTTGTTCCCAAGGTCCCGGCCAAGTGGTTGACGATGAGCTGAAGCATCCTATTCGTTCACATCATGACATACAGAAAGATAATGCACGCTACATGAAAAAAGCTATCAAACATTATGATGCGTTAGCTTTACGTGCCGCTACTAATGGACATTGTATCGACATTTATTCTTGTGCACTTGATCAGTGCGGACTTATGGAAATGAAACAGTGTTGTAATTCAACAGGCGGGCATATGGTTTTGGGAGACTCATTCAATTCATCACTTTTTAAGCAAACATTCCAACGGGTGTTTGCACGTGATGCTCGCAGTGATTTAAAAATGGCATTCAATGGCACACTGGAAGTGAAGTGCTCGCGCGAGCTGAAAATCTCGGGCGGCATCGGTTCGTGTGTGTCGCTGAATGTGAAGAACTCGTCGGTGTCTGATGTGGAGATCGGCATGGGTAACACGGTGCAATGGAAGATGTGTACACTGAATCCGAGCTCAACAATGGCATTTTTCTTCGAAGTGGTCAACCAACATGCAGCGCCAATGCCGCAAGGCGGACGTGGCTGTATTCAGTTCATAACTCAATATCAGCATGCAAGTGGACAGCGGAGAATACGTGTAACCACGCTGGCCAGAAAGTAATACAATTGTATTTGAATATGGAAATATTTATATATATAAATATATATTCGTTCTTTTAAATTTAGCTGGGCAGATGCAACAACCAATTTACCATACATAAGTGCTGGCTTTGATCAAGAAGCGGCAGCAGTCATTATGGCACGCATGGTTGTGTATCGCGCTGAAACAGATGAAGGTCCCGATATATTGCGTTGGGTTGATCGACAACTTATTCGCTTGGTAAATATATAAATGAAGTCTACCAAATCTTTAGTAATAACTTAAAAAATTTGTTTCCTATAGTGTCAGAAATTCGGTGAGTACAGCAAGGATGATCCAAACAGCTTCCGCTTGGCCCAGAATTTCAGCCTTTTCCCGCAATTCATGTACCATCTTCGCCGTTCACAATTCCTGCAAGTCTTCAACAACTCACCAGACGAGACCACATTCTACCGGCACATGCTAATGCGCGAGGACCTTACACAGTCGCTAATTATGATACAGCCAATTCTTTACAGCTATTCGTTTAATGGTCCTCCAGAACCAGTGCTGCTCGATACATCGTCTATTCAACCCGATCGTATATTATTAATGGACACATTTTTCCAAATTCTTATATACCACGGTGAAACCATTGCACAATGGCGTGCGCTCAAGTACCAAGATATGCCCGAGTATGAGAATTTTAAACAGCTACTGCAAGCGCCTGTAGACGATGCTCAGGAGATTTTACAGACACGTTTTCCGATGCCGCGTTACATCGATACTGAGCATGGCGGCTCACAAGCACGTTTCTTGCTATCTAAAGTAAATCCCTCGCAAACGCATAACAACATGTACGCGTATGGACAGGTGAGTTTTGTGAATATAATTAGCATATATGTTAAGGGAATTTTATGATGCGTTTTTGTATTACACCAAAGTTTATACGCATTGCTTTTTTTTGTTGCTGTTTTAATATTTTATTTAACTTTTGTTTTTTAATTCTTTTTTTGCGTTGCTCGTTCGTGTCTGTTAAATAATTGTCATGTTCAATGGATTGTATGATTTGCTAAACTGCAAAAAACGTAGCCACCAATTGGCCAGTCTACGGTATTTATAATTTTTCTATAGTATTGCCATATTTGGTTTATCAACAACCAAATATATAAAATAAAGAAATTTTATTTTATGGTGTGCTGCTTCTATTTGTATGCTTTTAAAACGCTTTACTTTGCTTTCTCACTCTGTTGCTTTTATTCAACTACATTTTTATTATTTATTTTTGATGTACAATATCAGTAACACATACTATTTTTTTATTAAAACACAATTTCATACAGGATGGTGGAGCCCCCGTTTTAACCGATGATGTATCGCTGCAACTATTCATGGAGCATCTGAAAAAATTGGCAGTTTCATCAACCACATGAATTGAAAAATGTTGGATGCGTATTAAGTTATGGTACTGCAGATATAAGACGCTCTGGTGGAAGTGCTGGAGAACCGTTTTATTTATAAATAAGTGAATTGATAAAATTTTAAATAAAAAAACTACGATTATAGTTATTAGAACTCTAAAATAACGAAATGTCAAATTCAATTATATGCATATACAAATAAATAGCAAATTAAATAAAAATTAATTGTTTCAAAAAATTAAGCCGAAAAAGATGGAGTTATCAAAATGTTATGTTATATAACAAGTTTCTTCTTTTCAAACAAGGTAATATGGAATCTCGCTGTAGCATTATGAAAAGAGCTCTACAATTGAAAGTACTTCCATGTTCCAATGCGAAAAGCCATATTACTATTAGATTCACTCCAAATTTTAATATTGAATACTATTTTAATGTTTATAATTTTTTATTTTCATAAAAGAAATGTCTTAAGTTCATATTTTTTATGGTAATTTAATAAGCTATATTTTCTAATTAACAAATGTGATCCACTCAAATAAATTTAATACTTTATCGGAAACCATATGTAAAAATCAATATATTTTTGAAAACTATATTTGTAAGACCTTCGAATTTAATAATTCCACAATAGAGCAAACATTGCGTGACTTCTTAGGCATATTTTTACATAATGTCAGACAAGCTCTTAATAAAAACTGGGAATCGCTCGTTCAATTGAGAAATCGAATTGACATTTTCTGTTCCACGTCAGTGCGCTCCAGTGCTTTACAAAAGTCTTCAAAGGAAATTTTTCCTTGACAACATAAATCTGCTTCCAAAATAGTGCGTTCGGCTATACTTGTCAGCTGGTCTTGACTTATATTTGCTCCGACCATCATGTGAAGGATGCTCAATAGCTCATCGCGACTTATAACACCGTCATCATCCAAGTCATACATTTTGAATGCAACTGAAAGTGGAATAAAATGGGTATTAATTTCTACATAAATGCATAACAATCGATGTTTGTTTGCTTATAATTACACTTTAGCTTTTCTTCGCGACTGTTTAAGCCATTTTCCTTTTTGGAGTTAATTGGTCGGAAATGAGCCAGAACATTCATAAATTGTCGGAAATTAACACGGTCATCAGTACTATCTTCGAAAAAAGCATGTACGATGCGTTCACAGAGGGGGTTAATTGCCAATTCAGGAATTCGCAGGAAGTCTTCACGAGATAACGTACCGCAATCTCCGCGATCCAATGAAGTAAAACGGGAATATAGTCGTTCAATTTGATTAGGAGTGACTGTAAATAAAAGTATTTTTTAAATTATTATTATGATTTTAAATAAGTTGGATAACTTTTAGACGGTATAAATTTCAACAATTTGTATTATGGTCAATTAGTTTTATCTAATCTTGATTTCTTTAAATTGGTCAATTCAAACTTTGATCCAACGCCGTTTAACTCATACAGCTCACTTTGTATATGTACCGTTGTGCGTACAAGTATAATAATTTTCGATATCAGTGTTAAGAAAGTGCGTTGTTTATCAACCAACTATGATAATTACCACCACTTATATGTTATAATTAAATCGCATTACCTTGTAAATTTCTTAAGAAAATATGCCGATAATAATATCGTGTTAGCAAGTGAACAATACTATATAACACTGCGTGACGTCAACCTTTTTTTTTGGAAATTGTAAATTATATACAAATTTGTTTACATCACATGATGTGGAATGTCCAGCAAGAAGATTCCCAAACGTATTAAAGTCTAGCAGATATGCTATGAGAGGCATAATGCGACCACAAGTAACTATAATTATACCTCAATATTTTTATTTCACGGTTCTTACTTATTAATCAACATAAAACGTATGAACACATAATTTACAAGACCCTGTGCTTTTACATATTGTTTGAATGTGTAATTACTTACATCCCGTCTCTTCTTGAATTTGAGCGATTTCCTCCGCACGAAGTAACAATGAAGATTTATTACCCATTCCGAAAAAGTTCCAAAACTAATTTGATTCTGTAGAAAACAACTACACTTTAAGTTGCAACGAAATAATAATATAAATTGACAACAACTTTGCTGATATTGTCGTTTCTACGTCGGTTCTTTTGTCAGAGATCGTATATTATGATATACGTTCTCTGTTGTCCGCTTGTAGCGACATCTTATGGCAAGTTAACGCTAACATCTATATCGTGCCACTATTATTAAATTATTATAAACGTTTTATAAGAATTATTTGTAATACAACATCTTTTCCTACTCTTTTAATAGTTTTTTTTATAATAATTTTAAATTTTTAAGCTGAACACTATTTCCAAAACATATAAGATTTTGTAGTACACCGCCACCCTATATCATGATATACGTTCTCTGGTTTTGTTTTTTATGTAGGGCTCATTTGTGATGTGACATCTGAAATAAATTTGACAAGTACACCATTCTTTATTAGTAAACTATAATAAAACAAAGTTAAGCTTAACCAAGAAAAACAATTTAACTAAAAAAATCAGTGTATAATAAGCCTAAACCTGGATAGAATGGAGAAATTAAATTCCACGCTGGGCGCAGTGAGATCACTGCGTTCAAGCGTACGCCAATGCTTTGAGCAATTGGCTGATGGTACCAACGCCGAACTGGCTGAAGACAGCCGAACAAAGTTTCTCCTAAAGTTCCAGGAGAACTTCAATAACATGAATGCTCAACTGAGGTAAAATGAGAAGAATTAATATCCAATTAACTCAGTTGCCCATTCTTATAATTTATGCCTAATTCAACAGGGAAGTTGAAAGTCTAATTAATGGCTTACAAGCTCCACAAACACCGTACTGCCTTGGTCAAACTACTTATCTTGCGCAAGAAACAGCTCCTGAACGACAGGCATTATATTCACAACTGGTAAACAGTTACAAATGGATTGACAAAGTGCATGACCATAGTTTTCTTGCTTTTAACAATTTAAATCAAAACAATCTTAGACGTTCATATGTATATTGTTCCCAAAAACGTGTACGTATACCATTCACATCGTGCAATAATTTCGATCCAGAGTAAGTATGCATAATAATATTATACCTAATGAAGACTGAGGAAAATGAACTTTTTGCATTAGTCATACGGACAAGCTACTTAGCGAAATAAACCTACCACTTACAAGCTATCAAGTGTGTCGACCTTTTGGTTCTAATGTTGTTGTCATTGTAAGTAATCTCTGTAAGTTTTTGGGAATGGAAACTTTATTTTGAATGTCATTTCATTACAGGTTACAATAAGCCGAGTGCTCAAAGCAGCGATTGTCTGCAAGGGTGTGCTTATTGAATGGGTTACAGTTAAGGGATTTGACGAAACACTTGACCCAGATGATTTATGGGCCGAATCACGTTACGAAGTCTTCCGAAAAGTTCAAGAGCATACGCATATTGCAATGTTGCACTTCTTCTCGCCTACACTACCCGACTTGGCCATAAAGAGTTATATGGTAATATATTTCAATATACTAGTTTCAAAGATTTATTCGTATTAATGTTTGGAATTTGTTTTCAGACTTGGCTACATAGTTACAGTAAGTTGTTTTTGGAGGCTTGCAAAAGGTGTGGGAAATTCGTATCGAATGGGTTGCCGCCAACTTGGCGTGATTTACGTACACTTGAACCATTTCACGAGGAGTGCCGTAACTGTTAAATTTCTATATACTAAGTCCAAGAATGAATGAAAAACTAATATATCTTCATAGGTTTAAATAATTTCAATATATATTTGCAGAAACAATAATAATCATGCAAAAATGTACGTAGTCATTCAAGAGTTACAATACACTATGCATTATTAAGCACTGCTATGCAGTTATAAGACTGCTTTAGGTTCCGTGACTAATCACCACAATAATTAGATGCAAGCTGGGCCTGATGTGCTTCTCTGGGCAGAGTTAATGTTCCGTTGCTTGCTATTTTTAAGTTGTTTACATAAACGCGCGAAATTTTCCTTTAATGTTTCGCGCAACTCCCGGCGTTGCTGCTCCACTTTTTCTCGCTGACATTGATACTCTAGAACCACTTCTTGAGGAATGTAACAGTTCTCTTCATCATCGTCATATTCATCGAAATTATCCTGCAAGGATAAGAATACATTAAAGATCAAATATAAAAACAGAATAAAAACATACTTGAAGAAGAAATAGGTATTAAATTGTCTGAAATTTAACATGCTCTAATTAAACTAAAAAAAAAAAAAAAAAACATTCACTTGAAAATGAATTATAAGTGCATAGTTGAAATTATTTCTTCTAAAAATTATTTATTTGAATGCATGTTCTTTAGAAGTTTGTTCTAAATTTTAGTAATACGTACCAGCATTTGCTGCAAGCTAAGCCAGTTGGTAGAACCGCATTTTTGGTTTAAGGAACTGTCTCCCCACATATAGCTATTTCCCAAATCGTACATGTGGTGATCATGATCCTCTTCCAAAGCCATGTCCTGTCCATTTTCATGGTTACAAAAACCCTCGGAGCACGATACTTCTGAACCCTCTGGTGTGCTGGCAACACTATTAATTGGCGAGTTATCAGGTGTTAATAACTCACTGCCATAACCCGAGTCTCGTACATCGTTCTCGCATGGACAATGGTCCTGCGGAGTTAAACAAACATCACATTTCTCCACAGACACATTGGTATCGAGGTCGCAGCAGCTACCGAAATGACTGCCATTTGCTGATAGCGATTGTTCTACCGTAGGCACTCTTTGCTGTTGTTGTTGCGGTATTTCTTTCTTTTTGCTACCACTCGATTGCTGTATTGGTTGTTTGTGCTTTTTCTGCTTCTTTTGCTTACGTTTCTTTTGAGCGGGCGACTTAGATACCACAGCCGTTGCAAGATGAGGTTTGTCAGATATTGAGAATTCACCTTTTTCATCGGTGCGCAAGTTTTTATCCATAATATCTACTAATTTATTTAATTCTTCGTCTAATTCGTCGCATAAATCCACCGCCTCATCGACCATCTCCAAGTCTACTTCATCTCTGTCTTCTTCTTCTTCCCCATCTGCTTCCGCTGCATCAGAATCAGCATTATCAGCAGCTGCATTGACAGATTTTCGACATAACTTTTCCTTCTTTTCAATTTTCTTTAACTTCTTTTTCAGTTTCTTCTGCTCCCGTCTCAATTCTTTTGCTCTTTCAGCGCGACTAATTTCCTGATAGAGCAATTCCAAATTACTGATACCCTGCTTTTGTTCCACCGCCATGTCAAAACTTCGGCTTAACGCATGGACAGCCACTGCCGCCAGCACTTGACAGGCCCGCTCTTCTTCGCGCAGACTAACATAAATACGACGAAGCCGCTCATACATTATCATACCAACGCAGGTTAACACTTCCTCTTGGGCAATTTCAAGTGTTTTTGCATGACGTTCTCGCTGCTTTGAATAACTACAAGAGAGGAAAGGTAATTAATTGCTAGATTTTCAGTATTATTTACATAAACTCATGCCAATACACCGATTCATCTTATGCATAGTTTAAACATTGTGTTTGCGTATCTTTACTTTAGATGAGCATCAGCTATCGGAAAACTTTACACCTCAATTATTTGTAATCGCAAAGATTTACCTGCCATTAACTTCGGGTTCGGCGCGTCTTATTAGAGCGTCGAGGAAATCAACTTTTTTCGTAATTATTTTAATGTGCTTCTCGGATTGGGGTTTCCTAATATTCGCATACAAAGCCGCGTCGAATCCTTCTTTACAAGTCGTTTCGTTTACGAGTATTTGGTATGCCTTTTCGATCTGTACAATTAAGAAAAATATGGTTAAAATTATACAAAAAATTGTGATTACAAAAAACAACATAAAAAATAATTAATTCAAATTAAAATATCTTGTTACATACCTTATTACGACATCCCTGACAAAATTTGTGTTTTTTCAAATAGTTCTCAAGTACTTCGTGCAGTTCTGTTGTTTCGATGGTAGCCAATCTGTCTCGACAATTATACTTCATTGAGAACCACATTTCCCGCCAAACTTCCGAAAAAGGTCTGGTGCGAAAGGCATCCAATGAATGTAGGGCACAACGAGTTTTATTTCGTAATTTATTATCCAGCAGATCACTGAGTACTTCATGATGCCGATAAAGTAATGTCCCTAAAGCTTGCGGTGACCACATAAGTTCTTCACGCACTGTAAGAACGCACGTATCCCTTAGTATCAATGGATCTAGAGTAGGATATCCTGAAAGCGTTAGCTGATAGAATAAACGTTCAACGCGACGGCGACAGCCCACACATGGCACACATTGATTTAATAAGGACACGAATGTGACACTATCGATTTCAAGCGATAATTTTAGTTCATCAGCCGATAAAAGTTTAAACTTTCGCGTGAATATTTCAAGCTCTCTCCCACGAATTTGCGGACTATCTATGCAGAGGCCTTTGTTACTCAAATCCATTAACATCTAAAAATATTGGCATATTGTAAGTTTTATGTTATACAGTTATTATGGTTTGATTGAGTATTTATACAATTTTTACTAAGTAGATAATTCCTAATTCACAACAAGAAAAATTGTTTACTTCGTTTGTACCGAAACTTTAACGCCCTTTGATTAGTTGGTTGAGTGTGTATTGCAGCTATATGCTATAGTGATACGATCTAAACAATTTTTTCGGAAAATGTACCATTGCCTTGGACAATAATCCATGCCAAATTTTGTGAAGATACAAAAAAGTTTTCAACACAAGAATATGATTTTGATCGTTCAGTTTGTATGACACGGCTTGTATGTGCTATAATGGGCCGATATCGGCGTTTTCGATAAATGAACAGCTTTTTCGGAAGAATGTAAACAAAATTTCAGAAATTGTGGAATTAGTTGGCGAATATACAGATAGACGGACATATTTATGTTTTATAGGGTTTCCGACGTTTACTTCAGGAAAATACATACGTAGTTATACATTTGGCTTAAGAGTTTGGATAAAATATTTTACTGAATTTTCATTTATAGGTTTTTAGTTTAGTTTGCACCTACACACCTGAACTCACAAATAAAAAATGTGTGGAGCTATTTTCATATCTCATCTAAGATTATAGTGATAAGAGCAGAACATATTAAAAAAGATAAATAAATCAGTTATGCTTATGCACGCTTTTCTGTGAATTAGGTTAGAAATTAAGTACTTATGCTACTATTAACAAAAATATTAAAATTATAATATCAATATCAGAGAAAACTGTACATATACATATATGCATCAAATATGTCGATAACTCTACGGGGACGTGAGTGTGGAATGCGTCCAAAGCTACCATTCACTAAGCAAGTTATGCATGATAAACTAATCGAGCCCCTGTTGTGTTGTTAGCAGCTAGTAAGACTGCATCGAGATGTTGTTGAAATATATATATTTTCGTTGAACCTGTTTTCACAGTCCAACTACCGCTCATTCCAACACACATATGTATGTACATATATGTACATGCATCTAAAAAAATCAAATAATACATAAGTGATGGTAGGCATCAAGCTAAAGAAACCAAATTTTACCATAGTTTGGAGATATTGCTGCTGTGAAGTTAATACGTATAGAAAAAGTTTGAAAATTCTTAAAACTTGTATATCGTTAGACGATTTTTAAAAATATTTAAAAAAACATCACTATGTAATTTTATAATACACTTTGTCAATTAACTTCTATCAGTGCTAATCAACATCGGATGTATCAACAGGTTCAATGGTTAGCAATCAGCTGGTTAATGTGTGTACACACTTTTACTATATGATTACATACACTTTCTCCACATTTTTCGCTCCACGGCCATTTAAACTACATATATTATAGAAATATAGTCGATGTGTTCCTTTGGAGAAGTATTTAAATAATGTATTTAGCGAAATCTCTACCTCTCATTAAAATCCAAACCTACTTTACGTCAAATATTTGTGGTTGCATGTAAATTAATTTATCAATGTTGACAATTGCCATAACTCACCATTAAGGAGGAATCATCGGCAGAGCCTGTAACCACTGGGATTTGTCTGTAACCAACGTCGATCACATCCTCTGCACGGTATACATCCGTCAGCTTAGCCATATTTCTAGCCTTCAGACCACCACTACACGCAAAATAAGCCTCAACAATACTAATTTACCCAAGCAAAAACGCTTACAATATTTTTATTGCTTAATTGTTGTACAATTATCAGCACTTTAGAATAATATATAAGGATTTATTTAATATCTTTGATGAACAATAATAAATTCTTCGTAACGACGAGACAACGAGAAATTATATGAGAAATTGTCAAACACGTAGTACCACAATGGAATGGTTCCACTAGCACTGTTGCACAACTTAGTAGTTTTGAGAAGTGAGCCCTACTCTCATATATGTACATGTAGAACTGAAATATATTACTTTCACATAAGTCTCACTCCGTTCGATATACATATTACAGAAAAATATATTGTATCTATACATAAATTAAAGAAATATATGCATTTATTTAAAGAAATCAAATAAAAATTTACCAAAAGTAGTATACTAATGCCAGTGCAATTTTTAAGCAGAGTTAAATTTAGGAGTAGCTGAATTCCAATATAATGAGATTCGTTACAACACTGAATTCCATTGTGAGCTTTGGAACAAGTCAGAATCGAAATATAAATAAAATTAATTTTATAATTATAATTAATACATATGTTTAGATAAATTATCATTATCTATTTGGTTACAAAATATATGATACAATGAAACATACATTTTGTATGTTATGCATAGATCTAAATTACTAGCTCATAACTTTTACAATGTAATATATTATTTCTAAGCCTTTGTGTGTTAAATTCTTAAAAAAAAATTATTTTGTAAAATGTTTGCAAATACATACATTAAATAAAAATTGTTGTTGTTAAGAGCAGATTTTAACTATTTGTCGATTTAAGTCATTGTTGATTTTAATTGACATACGTGGACTTGGTAACACTGCTGTCTGCTGAATCTTTAGAAGACAGAGTTGTAATCAGCATATCCAAAAAAAGGCGAAAAGTGAGATTTGACGGTTTGCTGGGGTAAAATCGTCCTTAATAGAGGAAAATTATAATTTTTTAGTTTTTGAAACGATTTAAAGAAAACATTAATATATAGCAGAAGAAATGTCACATCATTATGTGGTTACGGCACAAAAGCCAACAGCAGTTGTTAGCTGCGTGACCGGTAAGTTCTATTCTGGACAAATTTCATGACTATCGGCGAGGTATTTGCCGCGGTGCGTCTCCGGGAAACTAAAGAATTTATGACCTCAAATTTTATTTATTGCTATAAACAACTTATCACCAATTTAAGAAAGTCATTAAATTGCTTAACACAATTATATTTTACTTGCTTGCCATGCATTTTGTGCAATGATGGCTAACCGGCGTGTTTTGAAAACAACAACACATTTCTTTTTGTCTAAGGTTAATTATAAAGTCTTTATATTTTTCAGGTAATTTTACATCGCCAACTGATTTAAATTTAATCATTGCCCGAAACAGCCAGTTAGAAATTGATTTAGTTACGCCCGAAGGACTGCGACCATTAAAAGAAGTAAATATTAATGGCCAAATATCTGTCATGCGTCACTTCCGTCCGCAGGTTTGTTATATTAATTGAAACTTAACTTAATTATATATAAATCCATTAATCTTATAGGATAGTAAAAAGGATCTACTTTTTATACTTACATTGCGATACAATGTTATGATACTGGAATGCCGGATGGTCGGGGACCAAATTAGTGTTGTTACAAAAGCGCATGGTAATGTATCCGATCAAGTAAGCATACCGACTGAGGGCGGTGTTATCGCTGTTATTGATCCAAAGGCGCGAGTTATTGGTATGTGCCTTTACATGGGTCTGTTCACTATTATACCCTTGGATAAAGAGACAAGCGAATTGAAGGCGACTAATTTACGGTTTGTATATTGTTATACTTAATGTATTTTCTTACAAACGATTTTATGCTGTTTTAAATATATTTTAGTATGGACGAATTAAATGTTTACGATGTGGAGTTTCTATACGGCTGCATTAATCCCACAATTATTGTTATACATAAGGATGTAGATGGACGGCATGTGAAGACGCATGAGATTAATTTACGTGACAAAGAGTTTATGAAAATTGCCTGGAAACAAGACAATGTAGAGACAGAAGCCACAATGTTGATACCAGTACCAACACCATTGGGTAAGCTTTTGACTTTGAAATTATCCATAGAATTAATAAAAAAAACAAAAATTTGTAGGTGGCGCTATTGTTATTGGCCGTGAATCGATCGTATACCATGATGGAAATAGTTACCATGCTGTAGCGCCTTCTACATTTAAGGTAAGCTATATGTATAGTATTTAATATAGTTATTGCTCTTAAATCTTAATTTATTTGCTAGCAAAGCACCATTAACTGCTATGCGCGCGTAGATAGCAAAGGTCAACGTTATTTGCTGGGAAACATGTATGGACAATTGTTTATGCTATTCTTGGAGACTATAGACAATGGCAAAGGCGGCGTATCAGTCAAAGAAATTAAGGTAGAATTACTAGGTAAGTGAAATGAAAAGTCAAAGCTTAAGGTGAATTATTTTATAATAATATATTGATTTCAGGTGAAATTTCCATACCTGAATGCATAACGTATTTGGATAACGGCTTTCTCTTCATTGGTTCAAAACATGGCGACTCTCAGCTAGTTCGTTTAAGTACAACGCCCAACGAGAATGGCTCCTACGTTATACCCATGGAGAACTTTACCAGTTTGGCACCTATACTTGATTTAGGTGTTGTAGATTTGGATCGACAAGGTCAAGGACAAATTATAACATGCTCCGGCAGCTTTAAAGATGGCTCACTACGAATTATACGGTTAGTTTATGCTACTTTGCACTCGAAGTAACTGATAAATATTGTTATATTTTTTGGTAGGATTGGTATTGGTATTCAGGAGCATGCCTGCATTGATTTGCCTGGCATAAAAGGTATGTGGTCACTTAAAGTGGGTATAGACGAAAGTGTCTTTGAGAACACATTAGTACTGGCATTTGTGGGTCATACTCGAATTTTGACTCTAACTGGTGAGGAGGTTGAAGAAACTGATATACCAGGCTTTATTAGTGATCAACAGACTTTCCATTGCTCAAATGTTGATTATGACCAGGTGAATAAGAAAATATAAGAAACAATACAAAAATTATTTAATGATTTTTTTTTCCTTTAAAGATTATACAAGTGACTCCACTTACTGTTCGTCTGGTTAAAAGTAGCACTAAATCTTTAGTAGGTGAATGGCAACCGCCAGATGGTAAACGTATTGGAGTAGTGTCGTGTAATTCATCACAAATTGTTGTTGCTTCGGCATGCAATGTATACTACATTGAAATCGAGAATTGCGTTTTGGCGGAAAAATCACACAGGGCTTTAGAATATGAAGTTGCTTGTTTGGATATTACCCCATTAGAAGAGGGTAAAAATAAAGCAGACCTTGTCGCAATTGGATTGTGGACAGATATATCTGTTGTGATTCTATCACTGCCAAAACTGGAAACGATGTACACTGAAAAATTGTTTGGTGGTAAATATTAATTGTCAGTTTATAAATATCCAGCTTGTGTATACCAATATATTCCTACATTTAGAAATCATACCACGTTCCATTCTGATGACTACATTTGAAGGCATACATTATTTGCTCTGTGCGCTTGGTGATGGTTCCATGTTCTATTTCATATTAAATAGATTGGATGGGCGTCTAAGTGAGAAGAAAAAAGTTACTTTGGGTACACAACCAACTACTTTGCGTACTTTTAAATCATTTGCCACAACTAATGTATTTGCCTGCTCGGATCGTCCCACTGTTATTTATTCGTCAAATCATAAATTGGTATTTTCAAATGTCAATTTGAAGGAAGTAAATCATATGTGCTCACTGAATGCGCAGTCATACCCAGACAGTTTGGCTTTAGCCACAAAGAATTCGGTGATTTTAGGCACCATCGACGAGATACAAAAGCTGCATATTCGCACTGTGCCACTGGGTGAGGGTCCACGACGCATTGCGTATCAAGAGAGTTCACAAACATTTGGTGTGGCAACGCTACGTGTTGATGTACAAGGTCGTGGTGGTCCCAAACCCACAAGACCGAGTGCCTCGACTCAAGCACAGAATATAACCTACGCATCGAACATTATACCTAAACCGGGTGGCGGTAGTGCAGCAACTACAAATGCTGAAGTTGGTCAAGAATTGGAAATAAACAATTTACTTATAATCGACCAGAATACTTTCGAGGTCTTACATGCGCATCAATTTATGCCATCGGAAAGCATAATTTCACTGATGTCCGCTAAACTTGGTGATGATCCTAATACGTATTATGTTGTATCCACCGCGCTAATCTATGCAGATGATCCAGAACCTAAAATTGGTCGTATAATTATCTTTCACTACAACGAAGGCAAGCTAACCCAAGTGGCCGAAACGAAAATCGATGGTTCATGTAACTCCCTGGTGGAGTTTAACGGCAAAGTGTTGGCGGGCATAAACAGTTTTGTGCGGCTTTATGAATGGACTAACGAAAAGGAGTTGCGCATGGAATGTAATATTCAGAATAACATTTCTGTATTGTACCTAAAGGCCAAAGGTGAGAAAAGATTAGCTTGACACAGTTGTGCAAAAAAGATTTCAATTTTATCACACACACACACACATAGGTGACTTTATTTTGGTTGGTGATCTGATGCGTTCGATGACATTGCTGCAGCATAAACAGATGGAAGGTATTTTCGTTGAGATTTCACGTGATTGCGACCCTAAGTGGATGAGGGCTGTCGAAATCTTGGATGATGACACATTTTTGGGTTCGGAGACCTACGGCAATCTTTTCGTTTGTCAAAAAGATAGGTAATTTTCATGACAAAACATTTATGAGCAGACTGAAAAATTGTAATTGTAACTATATTTTAGCGCCGCCACGACGGATGAAGAACGACAGTTATTGCCAGAAGTTGCACGCTTTCATTTGGGCGATGTTGTAAATGTGTTCCGTCACGGTTCCTTGGTAATGCAAAACGTTGGTGAACGTACAACACCCAATATGGGTTGTGTGCTGTATGGTTCCGTGAATGGCGCCATTGGTATTGTTACGCAAATACCGCAAGATTTCTATGATTTCTTACATAGCCTTGAGGAACGTTTAACAAATACGATTAAATCGGTAGGAAAAATAGATCATTCTTATTATAGAAGTTATCAAACGACACAGAAGACCGAGCCGTGTGAAAATTTCATTGATGGCGATTTAATTGAAAGTTTCCTCGATTTGGGTAGGGATAAAATGAAGGAAACTGTTATGGGCTTGGAGGTAATGTGAATTTGTATTATTCATGTTTCAACATAATTTTTTTGCGATTTTTCAACAGCTTACACTAAACGGTGAAAAGAAGGAGGCTGATGTCGATGATGTAATTAAAATTGTCGAGGACCTCACGAGAATGCACTGAAGTGCGCCTTTTAATTTTAGTTTGATCTTTCTGCTATGTAATGTCACAATATCTATATCGTTGCAATAGATTTCGATGAAGTGATTAATTGATTAATTTGTTTAACCAATATGAAAGAGAAATAAATATTAGGCTTACTTCGAAAACGTACCACCGCAAAGTATCGATACAGTATGACTACAGGATTTATACATCATCGGTACAAAACGTCAAACCACATTGCAAAGTGTTGCGTTGCATAATTTAACGTTATAGACACCTTTTACGGCAAAAGCTTACTCTCGCAATAAGTTATTTTGTTTTTGCGAGCGTAAAGGAAATTTAAATAAATGCTGAATGTAAGCAAATTTAGTATAAATTAATAACACGATTAATAAGACAGCTTATCAATCTGACTCCGCCATCGTTGCATCCGTAAATGTAAAAAAAGCAACTTTATTTGTGATGCGCGATGTTCTCTGTCACTGCGCATCAACTAACGGGTTAATGTGTTTACATGATGCACTTTCAGAAATATTCGAATGCATTACAGAACATTATACTTTGTTTATTTATTGTTATGCATTGCAATTGACGTTTTTGAAGTCAGCCTTACTTGTACACGATCGTTAAAATTAATACTTAAATTATTACATTTAATTTATTTGCCTACCGTTATTTAATATTTTTGTATCTAAATTGCAAACATTTGGTATAGTAGAGTAAAAGTAAATAAAATTACAAAAATTACAATCATATTAAATAAGAATTATTTTAAACGTTACATTACGAGTGTGTGATACTTAATTAATGGTGAGAAAAGTACTAGTCCATAACTACATCAAGTAAAACTATCTTTTAATAACAACAACTCAATAACAACGAGCTATATAGTTAAAGGGTCTTTACAATAAACGCACACTAATATCCGAGATGCGTGAATTACGGTAACAACCCCCACCGCCAGCGTCAACGCAAACAGCAAAGCGTTCACCGCGTGTACTTCCAGCGCGATATTTTCCTATGATTTCGTTCCAAACATCCAACAGTTGCAGCAGCAGCAGCAGCGGCGTCACTGTTCGCCACCCTCAAGCATATCTGTAGGTGTGTGCACGCACGCATCGCAGTGCGGCTATGCACACGTACACTTCTCTGCAATTGTATTGCTTGTTGGTGTGTGTTTTATGGGTCGACGCTTTGCCCGGCCGCCATTGTGAGCACGCACCAATCCCACCGCGATGCTTCGCCTCCTTCGTGCTTGATCTTCCTGCATGCTATTGGAATATTTACATATGTATGTATTGCTATTGTTATCACTGCTCACTGTTTTTACTGCTGTTCTGCTTACGTTTGAGTTTGCTGCTGTTAACCAATTCGGTTTACTGTAACTCTCTGCCGCGCATTGCTTACTCTTCGGCACGTTTCCGTCGCCTGTCTGACCGTTTAGGCTGTGCTGCCTACTGCCTGCTGTTTGCTGCTTGCTGTGGGCTCTGATTATTTGGATGAGGTCCATTTGTGGTGAAGTTTAGTCTCAGCTTTCATTCATTCCGATTCCAGCATCCAAGCGTGTTTCGCCACTCCAGTCGCACACTCACTAACCGTTAAGCTTTTCTTATCTTATCCGTCTTGTGAATTTTTTCTTCTTGTTGTGCAAGTGTAGTAGTAGTTAAGTTATGAAACGCGTTTGCCGATCAACAAAATGTGCGATTCGATTTGTTAATGAAAAGCGGTGATTGTTCAACAAATACATATGCACATATGTTAAATATATCAAAAAAAAGCATACACAAAACAAAAGTATCGCCTGCAGACCAGCAATTGCAAATCTTCAAAGTTTGCACAACAATAAATAAGAGTGTAACAATGCATATTTAATGATTTTTTTGCTATACTCAAGTAAATATATACTCATGCATAAATATATAAGTCCATGTATACTCGTTGGTATATTGGCAGCCAATCAAATGCCCGGTAGCTATTTTGACGTTTTGATTAGTTAACTCTGCAATTGTGTTTGTGTACTCGTTTGCAAATTATTGAAAAAAATTCAATTAATTAATAAAAATAATAATTCTTAATTTTTCAACTTTTACTCTTGAAACTTCTTTGCACCAGTGCTTCGTTGTGTTTGTGAAAGTTTTGAAAATAAAATAATTAAATAAATATTCTAAGTGTAAACGTGTTTAAGCGTTATGTACGGCTATATCCACCGATTTGTTGTGAACTGATTGAATTGTTGGATTTTTTTTTACCACGTTCGGGAATATACTTCTACATTTCAAGGGACCACGACCAATTTCAAGTAGAAAACTGCCTAGTTAGCGGCGGCAAAACGGATATTTCACGAAGGTGAGTGCTAAGTGGGTCAACTGCGTGGGCGTTCTAAGTAACTCTACTAGCCGACGGGATGCGTCGTACGAGATATATGTTTTTAATTTTTCAACTGAGTTTAGAAAAGACCGCAGAAGATTAATAGTATTAAGAAATGCCATAATTGAAAAGCTTTAGTATGTTACATACAAAAACTTCTAACGAATATTTGGTAGAAACTTGCTAAAATTTTTTGAACTATAACTTAATACTATCGTTTTCAAGTAAGTCTATTAGCTATGGGATTAATACATGAATAATTACAAAACTATATTTAAAAATATTACTGCTAACTACTGTAAAGTACTAACGAAGGAAATGAGAACGCAGATGAAGCACCACAAACAGTTTGCGTATTCTTTTGGTTTACATTACTTCGAAAGGGTAGTTGAGATTTAAGATTGACAAAGGTCTTCAGTTAACCAATAGCTAGAAACGACATACATCTTTCTAACAGTACAACATACGGTCGTTAACAGAATGTTGAGAAATGTGTATAAAAAAATCGATTAAGGCTATGCAAATTATTATCTTAATATTTTTTTTTAAACTTTTATAGTTATTAAAAATATTACAAAATTTTCAATTTTATTTAAATAACAATATTTTTTTCTTATATATGTATACTTGTAAGTCAGAAAAATGTAAATCTACCGAATTTATTATATTTATTGCAGAATTTATTATTTATATCAAACATTTTTGATTTCCTTGATCCCATAGCCGATCTCCAGTTGGACCTTCGAAAAACGGCGTCTAGCGGTTAGGACTATATTTCTACTTAAAAACACTTAAACACAAAAACCAAAAAATGTTGTTATTAATATAGATGAATACAGGCAAAGATCGCAGAATTAGTCAAAATTTTGATTGATGAGGAAATGGCGATCTCCAAAAAAAAAGTAATTTTTTGTGAAAATATTTACACTTCCAAGTGGTTTAAAAAATCAAAGATATTAGCAAAAATCTTATTCCTTCGATCATTATCTGACAAATATATCTATGAAGGTTGCGTGAAAAAGTTCAAGTCGGTCCAGCTGTTTTTGGGAAACTTCTCACACCGACTCTGAAAACAGCGTTTCAAGAAAACGTGTTTAAAGTTTTGGTTGCCGATAACACTAAGTTGAACAGTTCTTACAAATACGCTCATAACTCAGAAACGCGTTTTCAAAGTTTTAACAAACTTTTGCTATAATGCTATATAAATATTATAATTATATAATGTATTCAATTGAATATCCCCTATATAGAATAACATTGTGAACCAAACTAAGAATTGAGGAATTAGCTTTTTTGAATGAGTCTCCAAAATGTGAAAAATAAAGAAGACAGACAAATAAGTCTTATAAATCTTCTTTATACGACGTTTTTAATAAAGTGCTATGTTTATTATAGATTGTACATAATGATCATAACAGTCTAATATATTATTTAATATAACCGTGTAACATGTTACTTACATACATGTATGTATGTATGTATGTATATACTTAACTCATGTATTAAGCACATGCAAATCTTTAAGAAACTTCAATTTCCCATACGTGATATCTCATCATCATCAAATTTATTTGTTTATATCTTGATGCGAGCATCTTATGCGGCCGGTTTAGAGATAATTCACATGTCAAAACTCCTGCCGATCACTTTCTTACCCCCTTTTCTTCAGATTGTTGCAAATAAAGGCAGCTATAACGACTGAACAATGACTGATGTTGTAATACAAATAATTTGATACACGCCTAAGACAGTGAAAAGGACATATGGGCATAGCAACAACAATTTACAAGAACATTCAAGCATACCACAATGCGGGTCAGTTGAGTGATTCATGTGTGTGTTGATATGTGATAGTTCATAGATAGTCTGCTATGTGCCGCGATTGAGGAAAATGCAGCTCATACATACCTACATACATCCATATGCATGCGTGTGTGTGTCTTTAGATCGCACGAGGCAGTATAAAATAGTAATTACTCTTCGAACTGATGTTCAGCAACTATTTGAGATATTTCTTATAGTTGCTTACAACTTCACCATCGAATTAGTTGTATGTGTGTGAGTGTTTCTATTTTGTGGTTGTTTTCATTTATCCTGAAGAAGTGATATGTTATGTCCTTGCTACTGACGTGCATGCCACATAGTTGCTGGTAAGTTTCCACGCTGTTGATCGAAGTGATTCGATACTGTCGTTGGACGTGTTCCAGACAAAGAATGCCATGACGATTTGTTGTTTTGAAATTGTTTTTCTGATTTCGGTGCGAATATAAAAGAATTATGTAGTGTGAACTGACACAAGTGATGTGGCCGTACGCGTTTTAGGCAAATAGTTACGAGTTAAAGAACTACAAATACATACGGATACCAATATATGCATAAAACCGCCTAAACTTAAGTATGGCACGTTCGATTCGCCACAGGATAACATCTTTTTTCCTTTGCGACAATTCACATTCATATCTCTCCTTTATTTTTTTTTTTTGCGATCGAAACTGGCTGATACCGAATTTTCTTTTGCAAATATTTTTCAATTTTGTATTTTATAATTTTCTTTTGGCTCGTTGACGACTCGACGAGACCGCTGAGTACTATTTGAGAGGCGTGAAGAAGTGTAAAAAGGCTAAAAAATATACAAAAAGTGCATTTAACGCGTAGAACGCGCCTGCGCATAAATTAAATGTCACTGACACGAATGATGAGCCTAAGTAGTGATGGGCGGCGAAAAGAAGCTGGAGAAGTAGGCGGCATAGTTTGAGGGAGCAATGGTATCTTATAAAGGCTGCTATGCTATACATATAGACATTTGTACGTTGGTATTAAGGTGCTTTAGGTGTGCATAAATTCAATAGAGGCATCAAATTAGTACACTTTTGAGTACAAAGAGGGGGTGTTTGAAAAATAATATATACATACAGAAATATATGGATGCAGGCAAATATATATTTATATTATATGACGCAGCAATTTTATTGACAGCAGCAGTAACGACACTTAAGAATTTATCCAAACATAAATATATTGTATATTTCCCCAATAAGGAGTTCAAATGCATACTCACTTACCTACATATACATATACATACATGTATACAAATAAAGATATTCAAATCTTCAGTAGCATTTCCCATTCGTCTATGTTTTGTCTGTAAAGTATTTTTTTTTCTACAATATATTCCTGACTTAATGCTTGACTGCCCACTAAATATATTAGGAACGGAAGTTTTACTTTTGAACCCTACGCGATATATGTAAATCTGTGCACATTTTCTTTTCGTCCTGTTAATCGTAAGCTGCGATAACGGTTGCCTTTGCGGCTCAATTGCCTCTCTGATTGAGCGTGAAATTTCTGATGTACCAATGCGCGTGTAACCTTTAAACACAATGCTATGCAAGTATAACTGCAGCAACATGTATTAGCACCTACAAAAATATATCAAACTACATATATACGCATGGATATGCATATATTTAAGTATGTGTATATGTGCTCATCATGTACGGTCCGGCACGATTACACATGCGTTACAACAACTGGAACAATATCCTGTTGTCGCACAGTGGGTTTGTTCCCGCAATGGCTATTTTTAGAAAGCATGGAGCGGTGTGTTGGGTTCAAATATATTTTGTGCGAGATCCTTTATTCATGTCTATGCATACTAGATAACCATATAAGCATATTAGATAACTTTTTGACTTTTGATCACTTTTTGTTTTGGAAAGAAATTACTATAATATATTACAAAGGAACTAAATCCGATCCGAGGTTTTGAGTTTTTAGCAACTTTATTGCAATGATAGTAGTCAATCGGAGGCTAAAGGCGAGTCTTCGAGTGGATTTCTGAGTTTCTGATACATTTTAAAAAGCAAAAATAAACCAAAATATTTGAAATATGGATTTAAAATTTTGTATGTTATTTTGAAAGGTGTATACCAACGAAATATGCAAAATTAAAGAAATATTGTTTCGAAGATTTAGACTATGCTTAAGTACTTGAGATGGAGGATTGAAGAATACAACACTTTTCTAGAAAAATTACGTCTTTTAATAGCTGTGATTTCATAGATTTATGAAAAAATGTTTGAAAAATACTAATGATACCATTCTCCAGCTGATAGGATTATTTATTCCAGTAGTGAGTTGAGAATGGCGGGCGCTTTAAGTCGGCGAATAGCGTTTCTTATAAACTTCTGCATAGCCGGTCCAATAGAGACTCTAGATGATGGTTTATAAGGACATAACATACTATAACTGAAATAGTTTTTATATTTATTTTAATAATAATTTTCTAATAATAACAATAATACCCCTTTCGGCGATACGTTGAAGGCTTGATTTTAATCTCACATATTACGGTTTTCAGAGCGTAAAGCCTACTGAAAATTAATTAATATGAACTTACATGTATGATTATATTATAATATCCGTTATTAATATAAATAGGATGAAATATATATAAATATTTCATCTACCAAATCACTGTAGCATGCCGCCAAACCGCACTCACACATACGAAACTTTTTCGTCGACAGCTGTCAAGTTTTAATTTGACTTTCCTAGCTTGCATTAATGCTTCTTTTCGATGCAGTTGTATGGCTCGTTAATCGCGCTTGTTGTTGTACTTGTTGTCGTTGTAGTTACCAATCAATTTGTCATACATGCTAATTTTGCGCTAGTTTTTAGAATAACTAAACTCAGCGACCAATTTCCGTCAACGGAAATCACGAGGATGATCGCGAGCGGCAACGCGTGTGTCGTGGTCGTGGCGACGTGTATTGCTAATCGACGCTGGTGCGGGTGCGGCAGTCGGTTTGTGAAACAGTTGGCTGACCAGTTGATCGTTTTTATTTTCATTTTTCTTGGAGCGCTGGAGTCTGCATGCAGCATTCGTTGCGCTAATAAGCGAACATATGCGGATAATTTCACGAAAGTGTGCGGTTTGTTGGAAATGTATGTATGGGGGTGTGTGTGCGTTGTAAATT